GGAATGGAATGAATTTTTATGGATAAAAATTCTCCTTTTGCACACAATCCTCAGAAAAACCTGATGAAATCTCTCCCTGTGTCTGTTTCTCTCTCTCTCTCTCTCTCTCTGTGTGTGTGTGTGTCTGTCTGTCTCTTTCTCTGTGTGTGTGTGTTTCTGTCTCTTTCTCTACCTTTATCTGCCTCTCTCTCTCTTTCTCTCTCTCTCCATCTTCTTCTTTATTCCCACTTCCTCTTGTTGGTATTATGATGATGATAATTATCATTATTCCACTGCTTTGTATGTATGCCGAGAGTTTCTGGACCGGAGACAAATTCTTTGCCTGTCTAGTCACACTTGGCCAGATAAAAGTATTCGGTTCAATTCAATTTCCCCCCATCTCTGAGCACAGAAGCTGACCCAAGCAGCAGCTAGGAATTTGAAGATGGTGCTGAGGTTAATAAGCAAAGCCAACTGAATGGTTAAATGTTTGGGATTGTCACTCTCTTTTTTATGTTCCTTACCTTCAAAGGCCTGGATTTGCAGGAACGGGGCTTTGACAAGGGAGGAGAGAGAAAAAAAACGGGTGTTAAGATAAGCGAAAGACGCAATCTGAACTGAAAAATTCACAGAGAGGGAGAGAGAAAGAGGGACGGAAGGAGGGAGGGAGGAAGTCTCATCTTTGTTTTCCACAAATATGGATGTCAATATTTTGATTTTGCTGGTCTGCTTCTTCAGGAATTCCTGGATAGTTCCCTCTTATTAAGAGCCGGGGTGATGTAGTGGCTATAATGCAGCAATGCAGGCTAATTCTGCCCACTGCCAGCACTTTGGCAGTTCAATTTTCACCAGCTCAAGGTTGACTCAGCCTTCCATCCTTCCAAGGTCGGTAAAATGAGGGCCCAAATTGTTGGGGGCAAGAGGCTGACTCTGTAAACCGCTTAGAGAGGGCTGTAAAAATGCTGTGAAGCAGTATATAAGTCTAAGTGCTATTGCCCTTCCTTCCTTCCCTTCCCTTCCCTCCCTCCCTCCCTCCCTCCCTTCCTTCTTTCCTTCCTTCCTTCCTTCTTTCCTTCCTTCCTTCCTTCCCTTCTCCTTCTTTCCCTTCCCTTCCCTTCTATGTTGCACAGTGGTTAGAATGCAGTATTGCAGGCTAATTTTGCCCACTGCCAACAGTTCGAATCTCACCAGGCTCAAGGTTTTGACTCAGCCTTCCATCCTTCTGAGGTGGATAAAATGAGGGCCCAAATTGTTGGGGGCAAGCTGCCGCTTAGAGAGGGCTGTAAAGCACTGTGAAGTAGCATGCAAGTCTAAGTGCTGTTGCTATTGCCCTCCCTCCCTCCCTCCCTCCCTCCCTTCCTTTCGTAACTCTGCCCACTGACAGGAATTCGATCCTGACCAGCTCAAGATTGACTCAGCCTCCTTCCGAGGTCAATAAAATGTAGACCCAGATTCTTGGGGCCAAGAGGCTGACTCCGTAAATCTGTGAAGCGGTATAAAAGTCTAGGGGCTATTGCTATGGCTACTACAGGTAGTTCTCAACTTACAACAGCAAGTATGGTTGTTTGTCAAGACAGTCACGTGACTTATATTTTATGGCATTTTTCACGGGGGTTCTTAAACAAACGTTGCGTTTGTTAAACAAACCCATTCCTTTGTCGCTCTGGATAGCGAGAAGGGTGGCGTATAAGCTTCCTTGAATCGTGACCCTTGACGTAAGTCAACTTTCTGAGCCTCCGAGTTACATCCTTCGCTCCCTGTCCTCCTTCCAACCTACGATTTTACTTTCCTTGCCGGTGGCCATAACCTGTCCTCTCCTTTTTTCCTCCCTGGCTGCAGCTGAGTTGCAATTTCCTGCAGACAAGGGTTGGTGTGTGTATGTGTGGCGTGCCAAGAATCCATCAGTTGGTCTTTCTGCAGTTGTGTTGGCCTTTAATTATGCATGCCTTTAAAACACAGTCGTAAAGACACCACAAAGGGATGCCATAAACTCGACTGGCGGCACAGAGAAGTGACATAAAAACCGGGGAAGGCAGGCTTTTGAAGCGGCTTAGCTTGTTTTTTTTTTCCCTCAAAACTCCTTATATCCTTTCTGAAATGCAGATTTTTTTTCTTCTTCTTCTCCTCTCTCTCCCGCTGCCCTGAATTGTATAATTGGAGTCCCACTTTTATTTGTGGAAGGCTTCTAAAATCTTCTCCTTCCCTTCCCAAATGTCTCTTAAGACCTAGTCCTGCGAAGCATCCGCTGCTGTTTGGCAAATGTTTAGAGGCTACCAGATGTAACAGAATCGCACGAGTTGGAAAGGATCTTGGAGGTCTTCTAGTCCAACCCCCTACACCATTTCTGACAACTTGTTACTTTGGAGCAGCGGAGAGGGGCGGGGGCCAGGGCAGCGAAGGGAAGGGCAGGCGGGGGAGAATGAGGAAGGGATTTTCCCCGCAGGTGCAGTAATAAACTTCCAGTGATGAAACACCCACGATTTCTGGAGGCCAGCTGTTCCACTGGTTAATTGCCCTCACTGTGAGGGAGTTTCTCCTTAATTCCAGGTTGCTTCTCTCTTTGATTATGTTGTTTCTTGTCCTGCCTTCTGGTGCTTTGAGGAATAAAAAACAAACCCCTTTTCTTTGGGGCCGTCCCTCAAATAGTGGAATTAGGCTTCATTCTGCATGCAGCTCAGGTTTGCAGAACTCAAAGCGATCTCAATTCACGAAACACTTGAATCCTCAACGTAGAATAGAACAGCAGAGTTGGAAGGGACTTGGAGGTCTTCTAGTCTCCAAGCAGAAAACCCTACACCATTTCTGACAAATGGTTGTCCAATCTCTTCTTAAGGTTGTAAGTTGAGAACAATGTGTAGGTAATATTTTGGGAGCATAGAGTTAATCTACCCGGTGCTGGTTGATGGCATGGATGGCCAATGGTCTGCTGAGTGCCCTCTTCATTTAATGAAAGAGATCCACAAAGTGGCCCCCAGTAGAGAATCAGTATTCTTGGGGTCCTAGTTTACTATCCATCCAAATAACATCTCTGCATGGGCCAACTTTTCATTGATGTTTGATATGTCTCGACTTAAAATCATTCATTTAGTGATCAAAGTTGCAACGGCACTGAAAAAAAAGCCACTTCCGATCGATTTTTCACACTCACGACCGTTGTAGCATCCCCACGATCAAAATTTGGATATTTGGGACAGTGGTCCCTTTGGTGACCGTGTGATGAGCAAAACCGTCAAGGAGGCCAGATTCACCCAACAACCGTGCGACGAACTTAACGACTGCCATGATTCCCTTTAACAACCGTGAAGAGAGAGGTCGTAAAATGGGGCAAAACTCACTGAACAAATGTCTCAACTCGCAACATACATTTTGGACTCAGTTGGGGTTGCAAGTCAAGGACTATGTCAACTCATAAAACATTTATCTGTTCTTTTAGAATTGCCAAGAGAAGGGGGAGGAGTGTAGCAGCTGGAAAAACCAAAACTGCATTCCACAAATGTTTTCAAAGATAGTAACTAGGTGACCGAAGTCTCTGCTGAGCAAAATTCTAATTGGAGAGCATGATTGATGACTCTTGGCTGTGGATGTGTCCCATTGGAGAATATGGATTACGATACACCCAGAGGGGTGGAGGGAAAACCAGGGTCAAGGGTGACAATGAATGATGTGTCTCAGAGTCAGCTACACTCAGGCAGTGCTGGACATGTTAATTCCCAATAAATCCTTTTGAAGTTTTGGAAGTTTGGCTCGAGACTCATGACTTAAATGGGGGTCACCACCGGAGTCCTGACGGTCTACTTGTATCAGTGAGTGGGAATGACAGGAGGATGTTTAGATTGGAGAGCTTGGACTGTGATTCCCATCATCCTCTACCTTGGTTGGCCGAGGCTTAAGGGACTTGGCATTCCAAGCATAAACATCTACCAGACATTGAGCCTGGGAATTAATCTAATTAGCTCTGCAGTAATTGGAAATAATTTCAGGCATAGATCTTTTTGCTTGTCTAATGAGGTAGAGAGAGTGGAGTCTGTTACACGTTGGCTGGGCTTAACCGTGTTACGGATTTAACTTCTGTTCTGGGTTTCAGAATCCATTGAGCCATGAATAAACCAAATATGTCGAATCGCTCCAAGATGCTAAGCCGCAATAAAGAGATCCAGCTTAGCATGTCGCAACACCGCCACTCCTTTCCCTACCTTGACTAATCCTGCTTTGTGAACCCAGCAAAAAAGAAGGTGAGCTCTAAAGGAGTGGTGTCATGCCCCTCTTGAAGTCTGAATCTGAGGAGGAAAATGAAAAGCTGACACAGGGAGTGGGAGTGTGGCTCCACTGGCTGTGGAGGAAACTGGGGAAGGGAAAAATCCAGCTGGGAAGAGCAGGGAAGAGGTAGAACAAGGGAGATGGAGTTCAGAGGAAGACCCAGGCCCACCCCATCTTCATCCTAGGGCATGCAGGAAGGAACAGAGGAGAGAGCAACATGGGTTGCGTGGCTTATGGGGGAGGAGAGGGCCCTGATTCCCTTCATTAGCCACGGCTGGGAAGAGAATTTAAAATAAATGCATGCTGAGTGCGACGTCTGCTGGGAGCAAATGTGAGTTTATCTTGTGTTGACTTTGGTTATCTGTATTTCTGGCATCTTCCCAACCGTGTTGAGCTATTGCTGTGCCGTCCTGTCTGGAATTCTTGCTCCTGCCCTGCCAAACTAATTACCTCATTTTGCCTTGATTTGACTTACAGTTACAGTTTTTGTTGACCACATTTTGGACTTGATTCTCTGCAGCCAAAGGCTGTTCCTGGGAGAATTTTTCTTCAGCCAGAAGGTAACCAGGACATTGGGGGAAAAGTTGGAGCTAATAAAGGGACTGTTATTGATTAACTGACTGTGTTGCCTTTCTGCCATGTCCTGGGTCATCACAAGCGTTGACCTACCTTCTCCAGATGGTGCTGGTCTTGGCTTTTTGAGCTATCTGAGGCTTAGAGTCTAATCTATCCTTTCCTTTTTCCTTTTCCTTTTTTTTTTGCAGTGTCCGAAAGCCGCGGGGTTTTGGAAAGCGTCCAAAAATTCTCCTTGCTGCCAACGTACCTGCCGGTGAGTTATCACATCCACAACGCAGACATCTCCTTCTTCCTCAAAGAAGCCAACCAAGATATCATGAGGAACTCTAGCCTTCAATCCCGTGTGGAATCCTTCCTCATCTACAAAGCCAAGAGGCTGCCCACCTTAAATGCCACCTATGGGCCTTTTTCCATCGAGCAAGCAGTACCTCAGGACCTGCTGTCTTCCTCCAACCTCTTCAGGTCCACCGTCCCCAGGATATCACTCAACTGGAAGTTGAAGGCCTACATCTTGAACCGCAATGTTTATTCGAGCAGGCCCAAAGTCCAGGTTCTCTTCTACATTGTCGGGAGAGATTGGGATGACTACAGAGTCTCGGAGCAGCTACCTTGCTTGAGGGTCTTCGCTTTTCGGGAGACGAGAGAAGTCCGGGCCACCTGCAGGCTAGCAGAAAGCCTGGGGTTTTGCACGGCAGAGTTGGACTTGCTCCCCAGCTGGTTCAACCCTCCCACCGTGGTGTCCGGCCGGAAGAAGTTTCTGAATCAGTCGGAAGGGAGTCGAGTGGAATTATACTACGCCCTTCAAGACGAGAATGGGGATTGTACCAAGGAGGACTCGAGAAGGAACAACGGCGTCAGACCCGCACGCAATGATGTTGATGAATCAGGGCCGCCCCTGGAAAGGATCGGAAGCGTTTTTCTCTACCAGGCCCAAGGGAGCCCCCCGTTAAGTGAACTGTGGCTGGATAGTAATGTCGTCCTTCAGTACCTATCCAAGACCCTAAAGCAAGGAGAAGTGTTGACTTTCGTGGTGTCTATGGCTAAAAACTCAACCCAGGACCAGTTCACATTGAGGTAAAGCAACGTGGTCTTTCAGATAACAGGGTAGACTGGAGAACCAATTGGTCCAGGGTGGTATAAGGTGGTCTGCCTTGAGCTGGGTGGTTAGATTAGAAGAGCACCAAGGTCCCTGCTGCTCTATGATTCTGGGCTTGAATCTGTGACTCTACGGTTGATTCCATAGTCGTTCTCCAAGATGGTATGAACTCTCCTGCCTTGAGCTGCATGGTTAGGCTAGAAGAGCGCCCAGGTTTTTACCTGCCCTTTGAGTCTATGATTCTCCCTCTATAAAAGTGAAATGCCCTTCATGCACAGTGGTGGGATTCAAATTTTTTTTACAACTGGTTCTGTGGGCATGGCTTGGTGGGTGTGGCATGGGAAGGATACTGCAAAATCCCTATTCCATCCCTGCCCCACTGACCTGCTTTCCAGCTCCGTTCTCCTGTGTAGGGCAACCAAAGAAGACCCAGCCAATCAGCTGGGACTCAATGGGAGGCAGAGAAGAGATGGGGTTGGCGGGGCCAGTCAGAGGTGGGATTGGCTGGTTCTCCAGAACTACTCAAAATTTCTGCTACCGGTTCTCCACAACTGGTCAGAACCAGCTGAATGCCACCTCTGCTCACGCATCATCACAAAATCACCAGAACCGTAAAGCCTGCAAACTTGAAATTTGGCATGTGTGTTCTTCTTGGTTTTTAGGTGCTCACTAAGAAAGGATTTTTTGAAATGACCACCTGAGAATTAGTATTTCCTATATTATTATTATTAACACCCTCTGATGCTAAGGAGTTCTACTCCCCCTCCCCACTTGAAAAGAAATCTGTTCCAAATGCAAAACACAAGCAGAGGAGTTTCAGTTTCAGTTTCACAGCACAAAACAGCCTTAGTCCAGAAGAGTTGAGTTAAGCCACGCCCAGGCTCCTTGCTGTCTCCTTCTTGCTCACACACCAAATACTGTTTCAGTTTTCAAACAGCCCTCAACTTTCTCACACACTGACAGGATACTAGTCAGATGAATACTGATAGATGCTGGTAGGCAGAGGCAGAATTTTTTTCTCCTTATTTTCCTCCCCCAAAACTAAGCCCGACCACATAGTTTTGTAACAAAGCACGTGTATCAAGCTAGTGAGTCTATAATTCTGTGACTTGATTTCATGATGATTCTCGAGGATGGCATGAAATCTCCTGCCTTGAGTGCAGGCAGTTAGACTAGAAGACCTTGAAGGTCCCAGCTCTGTGATTCTGTGATTCTACCATACTGCAATTGATGCTATGATAATTACTTCTCATTCCCCCATGTTTCCCCCGTCCCCCGCGCTCTGCCAATGTTAAAAAATACTTTGTGCTTCCAGTTTTGGCTCGATGTGTTTTACAAAGTGTCTGTTTGTCCAAGAGGGTAGTAGGGTGTCATCTCTTTGGTGTGTCACACAATATCGGACATAATGACCACCATACCGTTAGGTCTAGATTTGGATTGGACTGAGTCGTCCATTTGCAATATTTAGATATTGGCATGAGATGAGCATTCTGATCCCTTGGTATTTGAGCTAGTATACATTTAGATCAGGGGTAGTCAACCTTTTTATACCTACAGCCCACTTTTGTATCTCTGTTAGTAGTAAAATTCTCTAACCGCCCACCTGTTCCATGAAAGCTGGATCGCCGGAATACTAGTGGGTGGTAGGGACCAGGTTGACTACTACTGATTTAGATGAGGTCCATAACTTGGTGCTAGGGTTTGTGTTTCATAGACAGTTGATTTGAAATTTGGTTTCAAGGAACTAATTTAAGTTCCTATTATCAGCCCTCAAAACCAAGAATGATACGTGGTGATACTTCCAAGCAGAAGAATGGTTCTACACCTCCAGACAGAATCTTGCCAAATTAAAGCAGATTACTATCGACATGGTCTGTATTTTGGGAACTGCTATAAACTGTTTTTTTCTCTCTTCCTCTCATACAAACTCTCTAAATAGAATTGTCTCTTGCTCCTATACCTGTTCACCCATGAAACAACATGTTCCCCCATGTTGTACAATGTAGTATTATTATTGTCCTTCTCATCTTCTTTACTACTCCTTCTTATAGGTATGATTATTTTGATTATTAGTACTCTGTTGCTTTGCATATATACTGAGAACTTCTGCAGTGGAGGTGAATTCTTTGTGTGTCTAATCATATTGGCCGAACAAAATATTCCTAGTCTAGTCTAGTCTACTTTTTACTCTACTCTGTTGTTTCATTTAGTTTGTTTACTTCTATTCTACTCTACGCTACACTGGTGGGATTCTACCAGTTTCCCTACTGGTTCGGTGATCGCGCACTTCATGCACTTAATGTGTGTGCACGCAGAGTTTTCCAAATACCAGCTAAGGCTCTGCTGTGCCAATCAGCCGAGAGGATAAAGAACAAAAAAGCGCAGAGGCAGGTGGGAGGGCCGATCCTGCACTATTCTTTTCTTTCTCCTCAGTAAAAAAAAAAAAAGCTCCAATGATCAGCTATCAGTTTGGCTGAACCAGTAGTAATTTTTGCTACCGGTTTGGTCAAACTACACTGAACCAGTAGCATTTAACCAGTGCTACTCTCTATATTATGTTAAGTTATGTTATGTTATGTTATGTTATATCCCATCTTTCCTGGGAATCCAGATTACTACATTCCATTATAGTTGTCATGCCAGGTGATGGTGTTACAGGGTTTGCAGAACTTTTAGGAGCCCAGCTTGGGAGGGAAAATGAGCCTTGAAGCAATGCCCCAATACTCCTTGTAGGAGTGGATTGCCACTCCTCTTCACTAAAAGTAGTTTATGTGTAGCATTAGGCAAAGCTACCCTATGCAAAGGGAGTGACACGTTAAACTGGACTGGCTATAGTGCATCTTGGCTCTGTGCTTTGCTATGTCAGCTTGGAACACGGCATCTCTACGGGACAAAATTTCTCAGTGAGTTGGCCCATCTATAATTTCCATGCCTCTAATTCTTATAAAGTACCACAGGTGTCCAATTTCCCTTCCACAATCTCTGCGTTTAAGTGCAGAATGGGTAGCCTTCTTTCATTCAAAGCACATAATCAGGCAGACCTCTTTATATCGCTGCAATAGTGGTTAATTTTTACTGCCGGGTGCAGATGGTGTAGTGTTAGAGCCACCTTTTGGAAAGCACGTTGCTCTTGGCCCCTTGGGATCTAGTCAGAGTGCAGAATCGCTTTTTGAGAAACAAGAAGGAAGTGAGATAAAACTGACTTAATGTCATTTGCCTAGGATGAGTAGATGCCAAATGTTGGACTTTTTTTTATAGTTGATTCTGGTTCTACGAGCACAGCTAATTAAGGGAAAGACATGAAAGATAAAACTTTTGGGTTTGGCTGGCAAGCAGTAATGTTTCAGGACCCTGGACAGCTCCACAGAAGAGAGTTGTTGCCTTAGGACAGGTAAACACAATTTAAATTTTCGAAAGAGTTCAATGGGTGAGCTTTTTTTCCCCGAATAACTTTATTACATTTTACAAAGCATATCCATAAAAGCAACAATATAAACTAACAATCTACAGAAACGATAAAGAGTAAAAAGAGAATAGGCATGGGAGTGTGAACAAATATAAAGAAAAAGAAAGAAAAACACAAGTATATACAAAAATAACTCCTGACTTCTTCTCTGAAGAATGCAAAAGAATGCTTACTTTCAACTCTTAGTTTAAGACTACATGTAGTCCTCGACTTACAACAGTTCATTCAGTGACCGTTCAAAATTACGATGGCACTGAAAAAAGTGAGTTACGACTATTCTTCACACTTATAACCATTGCAGCATCCCCTGGGCCATGCTTGGCAACGGACTCATATTTATGACAGTTGCAGGGGTCATGTGATCCCCTTTTGTGACCTTCTTGACAAGCAAAGTCGATGGGTAAGCCCGATTCACTTAACAGCCATGTTGCCAACTTAACAACGGTGACAAGAAAGGTGCCATGCCCTTGTTAGAATTGGACTCCAAGGGAGAGGAAGAACAGCCGACAGGAAGTGGAGGTGTGGCTCTGGAGGTTGTGGAGGAGGCTGGGGAAGGGCAGAGGCCAGCTGGGCAGTCGGAGGAAGAACCAGGCCCATCTCCTCTCCATCCTAGGACACGCAGGGAGGAGAGGATAAGGGAGCAACTTGGCTTACGAGAGAGGAAGCAGCCATGACCCCCCTCATTGGTTGCAGCTGGGGAGAATAGGATATAAGAGAGATGGTTAAAGCACTACGTTGCCAGAAGCAAAGCATGTTTGATTTTGAGCTGAAGTTATCTTGGTTGGCGTCCTTCCAACAGACTGTGCTTTGCTATCTCCTTAAAGTTGGTAATTACTTATCTTGGTCCGTTGTGGAATTTCCTTCATTGTCGTTTGTTTTGGGTTTTATTTCACCTCTATCTGCTCATTAAGTTCGGACTGTATTGCTTTCTTTTGAAGACTATTTTTGAATAAGTTTAATCTCCAACTGAGAATTATTTGAACAGTGGGGCCAAGTTGGAGGCATTAAAGGACATTTATTTACGTTTTGGATTTTGTTATGTTTGTGTACACCCCGAGTCATCACAAAAGGTCATAAAATGGGACAAAACTCACTTAACAAATGTCTCACTTAACAACAGAAATTTTGGGCTCAATTGTGGCTATAACTTGAGGACTACCTGTATGACAAAATAATCATTCTCCCGCTCCAAAAATATATATATTTACCCGAGCAAAGCTGAATGCCATATATATACATACATATATATATATATATGTGTGTATATATATATATATATATGTATGTATGTATGCATGTGTATGTATGTATGTATGTATGTGTATGTATGTATGTATGTATGTATATGTATATGTATATGTATATGTATATATGTATACATATACATATACATATACATACATACATACATACATATATATATTTGTTTGTTTTCTTAAGTTTTTGCGGGCACTTACATATATGGTATTCAGCTTTGTTCGGGTAGAGCTTGTAATTACAGGTGAACATTAT